TCATCACAGACCGCTGCCACTCCACGATGTTCTCAATCCTATGACTGCCCAAAGATTCTCCCCTTCCCTCAGTCAACTCATCATTCATTCCTCGTTCAGTCCCCAAATCCCCAAGATCCGACGTGCCTTTCTCCCCATTTTGGCACAAGTCCTTAGCCAGATCTGCACACAAAGGGTTATCAGTCTTTGGGGGACAGGATTGCACTGGAATTCCTGAGAAAGAGGCAAAGCCTCTAAGGAGGTGGTCCATTTTCTCGTTTAAAAACCTGAGTTGTAACAACACATGATTAAACGATTCCCTCAGGAGGTCGTAAAAGTGCAAAAGATCATTCTTCGCATGAGGGTCTGCTTCACCCATTCCTATGTCTAAGAGGTAGCTCACACAGCACTCGTGTCTAAACACTCCCACCAGCTTACACTCACATCAACTTCCAGCACAGTTAGCCACTCCCAGGCACTCCGAAAACCCACACACTCCTCTCTTTCCCACAATTCGCTCAACCAACCAACACTAAACCTGCATTCTCACTTACTAGACTAAACACACCCAACAATCATCCACACTTCCTATGCGTCTCTTTATCACAACCACTAGTCTAAACACATCCAGCTACCATCCACACCTTCCTATATGGATGCTTCTTGTCACAGGCAGTCTCATGCGCTCTCCTGGGCCTCTTCGCCTGACCCACCCCCACAATCCTATCCTCATCAAACAACTCCTATCTACCTCCTAACACACTCTCAGCAGTCGGGACATACAACATGTAACATAAAACATACAGCCAAAACTATACTATATCTAAATACTAAAAATAACTAGCAAAAGGGAAAGTAGGAAGAAAAATAAAACAAAATAGAAAGAACAAGAAAAGAGTCAGATGGCGACAATAGCAGTTCCCTCCAATGCAAGCTGCTCAAAACAGCATTGCTTCTCTCCCGTCCCCCAAGGGAGTGAGAGAGGGGCGCTCGGCGGCGGCGGGGCCCAGCAGGCCCGATGGAAGGGGCCTTGTTTCTCTCCCCTCCCCAAAGCAGTGGAAGAGGGGCGCTCGGCGGCGGCCAGATGGGCCGCGGACTGCTGGCTCTCCTCTTCACCCCCTCCCAGTTGGCAAAGGAGGGGGGGGATGGTGGCGCGGCCTGGCGCTCTCTCCTCGGCCCCTTCTCGGTGGATGGGGGGGCCGGATGGGCCGCGGTCTGCTGGCTCTCCTCTTCACCCCCTCCCAGATGGCAAGGGAGGGGGGGGAATGGCGGCGCGGCCTGGCGCTCTCTCCTCGGCCCCTTCCCGATGGATGGAGGGGCCGGATGGGCCGCGGTCTGCTGGCTCTCCTCTTCACCCCCTCCCAGATGGCACGAGAGGGGGAGGAATAGCGGCGCGGCCTGGCGCTCTCTCCTCGGCCCCTCCTGATGGATGGAGGGGCCGGATGGGCCGCGGTTTGCCGGCTCTCCTCTTCACCCCCTCCCGGATGGCAAAAGAGGGGGGGGAACGGCGGCGCGGCCTGGCGCTCTCTCCTCGGCCCCTTCCCGATGGATGGAGGGGCCGGATGGGCCGCGGTCTGCTGGCTCCTCTTCACCCCCTCCCAGATGGCAAGAGAGGGGGGGGAATAGCGGCGCGGCCTGGCGCTCTCTCCTCGGCCCCTCCCGATGGATGGAGGGGCCGGATGGGCCGCGGTTTAACGGCTCTCCTCTTCACCCCCTCCCGGATGGCAAAAGAGGGGGGGAACGGCGGCGCGGCCTGGCGCTCTCTCCTCGGCCCCTTCCCGATGGATGGAGGGGCCGGATGGGCCGCGGTTTGCCGGCTCTCTTCTCCCCTTCCTAGATTGGCAAGGGGGGGCAATGGAGCGGCCTGGCACTCTCTCTCAGAGTGGTGAGGGCCCGATGGAAGGTCCCAGTTAATGCACTGGCCTACCCGCTATTCCGACGCCATCGGGCGGCTCATCTTCGCCCACAATGATGGTAAGATTTCAGCGCGGCCGGTGATGTTTTCAGTTTGTTCGGCACCCTGATGGATCAGGGGGATTTTCTTGCCAAATTTGCAGCAGGATGAGGGCTGCAAGGCCAGGATTCCAGCGGATTAGAGTTTAGCCCCGCGGATGTTAGCAGGGTTGCTGTTGCCTTGTCGCCATCTTGGGAAAAAATATATATATATCCCCCATCAAAATATATCCCCCATCATAACCTATGGATGCGAGAGCTGGACCATAAGGAAGACTGAGCAAAGGAAGAGAGACACTTCTGAATTGTAGTGTTGGAGGAAAATTCTGAGAGTGCCTTGGACCGCAAGAAGATCAAACCAGTCCACACTCCAGGAAATAAAGCCCAACTGCTCACTGGAAGGAAGGATATTAGAGGCAAAGAAGGCTATTAGAGGCAAAGTATATTAGAGGCAATGATATGAGAGGCAAAGTACTTTGGTCATATAATTAGAAAACAGGAAAGCTTAAAGAAGACAATGATGTTGGGGAAAATGGCAAAAAAGGGAAGAGGGGCCGACCAAGGGTAAGATGGATGGATGTTATCCTTGAAGTGACTGGCTTGACCTTGAAGGAGTTGGAGGTGGCAACAGCCAACAGGTTGCTCTGCCATGGGCTGGTCCATGAGGTCACAAAGAGTCGGAAGAGACTGAACAAACAAACAAAAAAAGAACCCAATTTCCATTTGATAGGATGATGCCCTCATTTTGGCTCCCATCACACCTGGAACTACATCTCTGATTGTGGAATTCTGGAAGGTCTAAAAAGTCACATTTCCAACTCTCCCTTTTCAGATTTCTTTCTCTGAAAAAGCCATTTTTTCCCCAATGTTGAAAAGTGGGGGGAAATGGCAGAACAAACCACCCACAGAATGGTTGATGGAGCAAGAAGTGAAAGGTTTGGACTGGCAAGGGCAGCTTGCCCCATTCCTCTTTCAACCCTGTTGAAAATGGTTGCTAGCCTCACAAAACAACAGTTCCAGTGCAGGGGGCATGTAATTAGCACAATGAAAAATAAAGCTATTCTATATATATAATCCTGTTCAAAGTAGACAATGTGGATTATCTGCTTTGATAATCTGGATTATATGGCAGTTTAGAAGAGGCCTAAATTGCATTGCAACTGTAGCACAAGGGACAACTCTACTCCTTTTGTGATCTAACTTATTCTAGCTAATTGAATAGTGAGAATGAGCATATGCATTTATGCTTTGGATGTGTTTTGAACCATAAACCACATCATGTCTTAGAAAAAAACTAAAGCAAAATTATTTTGGTTGCTTTTTAGCAAGAATATAAATACTTCATTTAAAAAAGGATCTCTAACAATAATACATTATTTGGGGGAGTCTCACAGCTGCATCTGTACTTATTTTTAAAGTAACTTTCCACATTCTGTTTCATATCTCCCCAAAATATCCTTGAGTGACTTCCATACCATTCCCTGGTTTAAGAAAAACCAACTTAATATCCAGTAAGGAGAAGATGCAATCTGAAATTGTTAAAAAATAAATGTCACATTATAAATCCCACAATGCTCCAGATGTTACTGCTACTTCTACAGTGACAGCTGTCACAATTACAGTGATTTCAGACAATTACCTTTACTCCAAATAAATATAAAACAGCCAAATACATGTTTCAGCTTTGATGTGAAGTGAGACAGAACCACTGATAAATTGTTGCTCACAACTGCATGGCTAACGGGTGAATAACAAACCAATTCTAATATTTCTTTCTTTTTATGTTGCAAAGAGACTGACTTACTTTTGAAGATCTAAACACAGCCCAGCTTCTGCCCCTAGAGATAAGAAATGTCCTGGATACAATTATTATGAAGCTTAGTGAAACAACTAAAGGCAAGATATCTGCACCTAGATTTCTCAGTGCCTGGCATATTAAAAATTCATAGATAAGAGTCTTCCCAATAGCCTTTTGCAGACCAATGTGCTATCTCGTCTCCTAAGCTGATGCAAAACAACAACAGTCTTTACCTTTTAGAGAACATGTCCATAGGAGTCTGTCTTTATGAACTTAACAGGCTGCCTGTGTTGCCTAGTACATATTTTGTCTGGTACATCAGACATTGGCCTGCGAACTAGGAGACTGCTGTCATTCTGTTCCTAGATTTTTTCTTCCCCAATGGATGAATATAAGTGAGTTCACCTACCATGAGACCCAATCATTTTGACCATTTTTCCCTCTACCGGAACTGTGTACTTTGCATGGGAACATACCAAACCTCCATATAGGGACACTCCCCCTTATCTATCCATCTATCCATAATTTTAACTCATCTTTGGGGTCCACTACCATTAAATGGAGTTTCAAAAAGCTATCAGACATATAACATTGCTACTCTTGACCTTCAGGTAATCTACACCACAGCAATAGCTAGAAAACCTACTGAAGGGAGATGGGCAACAGAGGAAATTCTTTCCCTGCCTTCTCTGTTGAACTGGCTGGTCCACGACAACTGGAAGTTGTTTTGACCATCTTCTATACCTAGTCCAGATTCAAGAAACTTGAGTCTTCTTCTGGAATTCTTCTTGGTGGCTTGCTGCAATAGTGTTGTCCAATACCATAGTCAAGGAAATGCTGCAGAAGAAAGCAAAAAGTGATCATCCTTCCCCTGTTGCTGCAGCTATTAGCTGTCAGTGATTGGCTAATTTTCT